TGACAATCATGGGTGGCGCTGCTTCTCGCCGCTGGCCGCATACGTTCGTCGCACGTACACGCTCCTCATTTCTCAAGTTGTGCCACATTACACTTGTTCTCAACCCTTTCGCTGAGCATCTCTTCTGCGTTCCTCTTTCCTAGATGTCGCATTGGCGCAACATCGTCGAGACGATTGCCCCTCCTTGGCAGCGCCAATCTTTCACACTTGGTAAAGACTTCGGGAAGTGTGTACACGCCGATTTTCTTGCTTCACAAGCATCCCCCAGCATTACCTGCCAATTGGACGTGATTGTCGGGACTTTCTACCTCGGCGTCCCCGTCTCGATGCGCCCAATTCTGGGTATGCTTTACTGTTGAATTCTAGCCACCCGTTGTATCGTTGATTGCCTAGGCGGTTTAATCTCGCCCGTCAGTCGTATCGTTTTTGGTTCAAAGTTCATTTTCACTGTGCTGGACATGGTCAACTTTGACACTCATCTCATCAACATAGGGAAAAGCACCACAACACGAAAAAATCACGTCACAATCGCTCTAGGGACCGGAGAAAACTGCGACATCATATGTAGACTATGCATTCAGCTGGTCATGCCAAAACACAGCAACGGTGGGAAAGGAACTTTTCACTTGCATCAAATCACCGGTGCCCAATTTCACCACTTGAGTCTCTAGCACAAGAACGTGTCTCATCAACACAACAAATATCTAGGAATCGTTGATCAAGATCGGCGGCGGGAGCAGCTGAAAAAGCACCATTGTATATGTGTGAGTTGTGTATTTTGTAAGGAGTATCATCATTCAATACACCGGCTAACGATCTCGGAAAGAAAACTTACTGCCTTCATCCTCCCAAAAAAGAAATTGCGACCCGTTTCATTTGAACATACCCAACAAAACTTGTAGTGGCCCGTCTGAGGCCTAACACATCTCTCGCTCAACAATATTGTGCTCCATAATGCCCCTTAATTTGACACGAAGCCGGTCATTTCCGCCAATTTATGGGGGTGGATGAAAACGTCTGTCTGTCTCACCGCGAGTGACTTACTTGCACAGAAGAAGTTTAGGGCTGGGAGTGGGTTTCTCAATACTGGACAGCCGATCCAAAGAAACGGGCGTGCTGGTGGCTGTTGTAAATGGTATATATTTCGACACACATTGCGGTGTTCCCCTCGAGGGCTTGACGTGATCTCTTGGAGTCAAACCAAATGGACCGAACGCGACTGCTGTCGAGGCACAAAGTCCATGACCGGGGAGGATGCGAGTCTTGCTTGGCTCTGTATCGCTTTTCGGGTTTTTCCGTCGGATCGGAGATTCTTCCGTTGTTCTATGTCGAGTTGAGACGGAATTCTGTCCCGTTCTTTATTTTAATGGGCAACCATCGCGCACATGTTGTCTTCGTGAAAACCATACGGTCAACTACCACAACCCCAATGAAAGTCGAGAGTGACAAACAACATCTCGCGCGTACGGGAAGTACACGACAGCCGGACTTGCAAAGAGTTCGCCAGCCAATTTCCGCTTGCGCAGGTGTTGTGTGCAGGACTGTCGTCATATGCATATCACGCTTATGAGACAGGGCATGCAACAGGGGCTCTTTCCTGTTGCATAAGAAAGTGGAGTCTTAATATATACCTTGTTGTCTGATGCATGACACCGGCCCAAGCATGTTTGGATGATCTCCTCGAGTTTTTGATCGCGCTGGTACCGTCTCTCCGTACATGCAATTGTACATCCAGGACAAGATGACACGGCCTCAATGTGCTGTAGGTCCGCATTGTCGCGCATCCCGGCTGCTGACGAGCACAATATTGGACTGACTCAAGGGTGATGAGATCGTGGTGATCACACCGACCTTGGTGCGAACATCGACGTATTTGTGTGCACCCCGCTGGCATCATCCCGACTGGTGCCATCTCTTCGACCGGCGCCACCCCACTGACTCCACGATCATTTTCTGCGCTAAGCCAGATTCACATAAAAAGAAAACTTGGTTCTTGAGACCACCTCCCATGTTTTCAACATCGAATGTTCGTTTTATGACATTTCAAAACTTGACGTTTTGTTGAAGTGTGCCATCACTAACCTTAACCTAACCCTATCCCTTGCTAAAAAAAAACGAAATGGTGACTTGCCTCCGCTGAACTCGGTAGGGATAGTTCTTGAAGGGTAAGAAAACGGACAAGATGTGGGCGAAAGTGTGGATCTTGCCGCTGTGCACGATGATGGTGGCCACATTCAGCGCTTCGTTCGCCTTCGGCCAAACGTGCAGCTGTGGTGGACCTACCGTTGATAGTCCTTCGGTGGCAGATATCGACGTTTTGCAATGCGGCGCGGCTGATGGTACCACTGATTGCGGCGGTAATATCTGCGTTTGCAACTACGACATTTCGATTGATGTGGACCTCGTTGCCTTCCTCGCTGGCACTGGTGATGTCAGCATATCGTGGTACTGCGATCACGGTGGCAACGATGGCTACTGCACAAGTGAGTACTTGTAATGTTGGAACAATCGACACCGACCACTCACCTCAAATGTGTACTCGAATAACGCTCATGGCTGTTGCAGGAACTGTTGGTTATTGCTCTGAAGCAGATCGATTCGATACCCCCTTATGGATCATTGAAGAACAGTCATCGACATCCCTCCCCAGACTCTCATAACCGTACACCGAGGATACATCGATGACCACACCTTACGCTATTGACGCAGGTTGAGTACCCCAATATCGCTCAAAAGGTATCGCATGTAACCTACGCCATCGGTCGATCATGTGTAGGTTACACCGATGATGATCATTGTCGAAAGGTTGAAATGAGTGATAAGATATCTTTTCCGTTGGAATTTGTCAGGAACCTCAATCTTTGTCTAAACACACCGGGTGTCTTCTCTCTGATCGGGCGGATTTTGTACCGTTGCAATTCCAGAAGCCTCCTTTTCGCGAGGTTCGAGGAAGTTTATGATATCATCTCCTCTGTCTTGATGTTGCCTCATTTTCCTTTCGTTACAGCATACTTCGGAAGTATTTGTTGATGTAAACAACCCATCGTTGATCCAGGGGAAACGAGAAACAAACGTGATCTTTTAGAGGCCTTGAACGAAGTTTTTCCGTCAAAAACATCGCCTAAGGCACAAAAAGGGTGGTGACATCTGTAAGTAAAAGCGGAGGACGGCTGTATCATTCTTGTTCTAGCGTAAAGATAGGCTAGGTTCATCTTGCGATTGCGGTTTGCTCATCATTTTGAATATGCGATGGATGTTTCGCACACTTGCAACCAACAATCCGCAAGGCAGTCTGTGTGCTGCCATGTTGAAGTTTTTCGGAAGCGTTATTAAAACTCATGATGACATTTTCAGCCTTCATACCTATTGCGCAGGTTCATATCGAATGGTGAAGGTTCACGATTTCGGAAGTTGGACGCATGGGCATGATTGATGCACCACGAGAATTTCGATAATGGTAAAACGAAGTGGAAACACGTCGTGTACGGATCGCCGTCGTTGAATTGACATGATCTTCACGTGTAGACGAGAAAGGTCAAATGTTAACGTGAAGTATGAAGAGAATATTCAGTGGCGGTGCACCTTGTCCACACCACCCAATTTCGACACCATCCATTGCTTTTCATTCAATCGAAGACATGCCGTGTTCTCATGCGCCACCTGACCAAATTGCTCGTCGATCCGGCCCGGTTCCACTCAAAAGTGGGTGTTCGTTCAACTGACATCCTCATATCAGATCACGAAACGCAGCCCGTTCACGCCGTGATCACACGCTCCGATAAACATGAATTCGCCCAATGTTGAAAGTCGGACTTCGGTGTATGCAAGTTTTCTGTTGAGGTTGTACGAAAGTGCGGGGCAAGATGTCGAAGAACTAAGGCAGAAGAGCAAGACATTTATTTCACCTTCGAAGGTTATTTTTTGTTTTCTCTTTCGGGTGACAACGTTCTGTGCAGATCCCGTCGTTTCCTTTTTTGGTGTAAAAAATGGCGAAAAATTTTGGCAAATGTGTTTCCGTTAGTCAAGGGAAAAAAATACCGTTGAAAGCAATGTAAAGCTTCACGGTTCATATTAATAACCCTCCGTCAAACTCAAATTTGGCGAATGACATATTTCTTAGGATTCGTGTACATACGCACGAAATCAAAGAACCTGCTGGCGAATATCGAAATCGAGCGTTTGCCATGAAAAAAAGTGTACGATGGGTTAGGATACTGTTGCTTGTTTGCATCAAAGTGGCCACAATCGCGGCAATACAACTGTGTCGGCGTATGCACTTGGGTCCATTCACCCTTTAATGCGATTGCTCGACATGTTCCGCCTTATGACTTTTTGGGTGGTTTCCCCTTCTGCAGCGTGCACCGAAGCTACCCAAGACACCGATTGCCCCACTGATGAAAAGCCGATCTGTTGCCCGGAAACTGGGCTTTGCTCGCACGAGCCTACCGACGACGATGCCGGCGCTTGTGGTGAGACTTGTCGATTGAAGTAATAATTTTCCCGCATGAACGTGATAGACCAACCATGGCGATTGTGCCGTCCGTATTGAGGTGGAAAGTCATTTGAACACATGCCGGTTTTTCTCGGCACCTGAATACCGAATTGCCCGTTGATCATTTTTTTGTGTTTGCCGACGACGACCTTTGAGGAGGCCCACAATGTTGTTTAGCGATCTGACTTTAAATAATAGTATTGATTCTAGGAGAGGAATCACATGTTGTTGCTAGTCGAGAAAGATGCTTATAGCAGTGGCAAGCCTAGATGAAAAATTATCCGTTGCACTTCTTGTTCTCAGGTGATCCTCACATGACTGGATTCCTTGGCCAAAAGTTCGACTTCGTTGGGCAGGACGGTGAATGGTATGCCGTTGTTTCGGATATGCCTGATCTTGAGGTCAACATGCGCGTGACCTCCCCCGTTCCTGCTGAACCCGAGATCACCTACATCACCGGACTTGGGATCAAGACAAGGGACATCGAGGGATTAGACCACTCCCTTGTCATCACGGTCACGGACCCGCACAGTTTGGACAGCGCCTGTCCCGTTCAAGGCTCAACTTGCCTGGCTGACGGCGCTCTGACTGTTGAGCTTGATGGTGACGTTGCTCTTCTGTCTCCCGGAGAGGCCGAGCTTGGACCTGGTGTGGCAATCTCTGCGGTCAACCTTCCTGGTGCTTGCAGGTGGATGCGAATACGGTTTCGATTTGAGGCCTGTAACCAAGGAAGATTTATTTTCAAAGAAATCTATTAGTCTTGGGGTCAGAGGGGGTGGTTTGCGCTGAAAAAATCCTGCAGATCGAAGCCACCACTATGGTCCCTGGAGGCACCTTGCTTGCTCGTGACATGCTTGAGCTAGTGGTTCGCGGCATTGAGTGCGATGTTTTTGTGTCACCACCAAAGGGCCCGCTTATGTCAACACGCCATTGACTGTGGGAGGTGGGCGTCATCGGCCTTATTTCCGTTTTTCGTTTGATTTTCGACATGCGACGATTACACACGGAACACAAACGCGGCAACATCAAGAAAAGTCTACTGAGTCAACACCGTGAAACACGTTGTTCGAAAGTTTGGCAAGCAGACGGTGGAGGTCCTCGTCCTGGCGTAGGCTGTGCCTTGGGGGACCCCCCTCACCGTTTTAACAGAGTTTTTCCAACCGGAACGCTCTGAGAATTTAGGGCAAATTCTTAACGGGCAGTACGGAACTTTTGAAAAAATCGCGCTATGCAAAAATGATCAACTTACCATATCGGTCGCGAAAGCATCCCAAATCAATGGTTTTCGCTGATGAAATTTTCCCCAACATTATTAAAAAATACCGTTCACAGGCAACCTTTTCAAGCCCGCACCAACTCTGACGTTTATGTTTTCTGTCTGCCCGTACCCGTCAACAATGTTCAATAACTAGAGAGCACGACAACCAGGCAAATTTGAGCAGATTGTCCTCTTCGCCCAGAGTTTGAAGTTTCGAAAACCTTTTTGTCGATACGTTTCAATTATTTGCCCAGGTCTTTCGGGTTCGAGAAGTACTGGGAGCGAAAGAAAGCAGAGTACGTGGCCAGCGGCCGGAGGCTGAACAACGACTTGCAAATGCAGGAGATGTCGGACTGGATCCTTGGTGATCCTACCGCGACCAACATGGCTGAGTGCACGGAATACGTGTTGGGTGCGACTGTTGACGGCCAGGCTGGATTGTTCGAGTATGATTCGGAACACACGTCATTCCAAATCGTGACTCCCAAGGGAACCATCCGCCTCAGTCACGGCCGCCTCCACCAGCTCGCCATGCGTGACCCTACAGACAGGTTCGATATCCCTGACCACCTCACGTGGCAGATGAACCTTGCCTTTGACAACGTTGACCTGGCTGTGGACGCCACGGGTATTCTCGGCGAGACGCAGCAGCACACCCTTGACGCCAACGGCAACCCTATCATGGAGGGGATGGCTGCTATCCGTGGGTCGCAGGAAGACTGTGAGTATAAATGCGGGGATGTTGCGATTGGAGTAAAGATCAGAATTAGGACAGTAGGACGTACGACTGTTCTAACAGCAGTGTTGGCGTGGGGTCAACACGAAATATCGAATGATGAGGCGAATCACGCGGTAGGGCGACTAATATTCATTCATGTTATATTTCTCGCCAAAACTATAGCTCTATTGTCGGTGCCCGAAGAAAACCCAAGTTGTATTTCCTGCTTCCGAGCACACGTCACGCGAGCAAGAAGAAGTTTTCCTGTTTGTTGTTTTCGATGAAATGCCAAAAACCCTAAACATTTTTTCTCCGAATGTCTACATTCTTCGTTTGTTTACTCGCACGCAGACCTTGTTGACGGCCCCTTGGACAACGTGTTCGTCGCAGCCCGTAACCACCCTTAGGTCACCGTCGACCATATTCGTGGGTGCTGGGTTGCTAGTTCCATATCTTTACGAGAATTTGCCGACTTTGTTGTTTTTTCTGCGTTCCCTTGGCTTGTAATTCGGCGTCTTGAATTGGTTGGTTCCTCGACGTGGTCAGCTGGTCGTGTTAAACTGGGTTGTGCACGTAATTATTGTGCATATTTACATTATTCGACACCATTCTCCGTAATGGAGTGGTCGCCGTTTAATGTGGCCTGCCTCAGCTCCCACACGCTTGCATTGTGCCTGGGTGGCCCTGTTCCACTCGCTGGACGTTCCAAGACTAGGACTAGCGGTAATGGTGTGGAGGTCATTTAGAGGCAAATGAAGTTGCTGTCAAGTGGTATCCTGCGAACCAGTCGACTCCATCGCCCATTATCAATGCACGGTATTTATGTTGTACTGCTATGTGTATTGCATGCCTAGGGTATTGATTAATTGCTGACGAAAAAGGACAAACCAGTGTGTTGAATATACCCGCATACTTCATCATGCGGGGATCCAGGTTAAGTGCTTCCAGTATTCGAGCTCATTTCAGAAGACTTGCAAGAACGTCCCGATTCTCGCGTTGGTGCCGATAGCGCCGCGGTCTGGAAAGTATTGGCTACATTTGTGTACGAGGCTTGATCATAACTGCACTGTCCCTGTGACGGGTGACCATTGGACAAAACGTCGTTACGATTTTACCGTTGTTAGTGGGCCGATAATGGCTGGAGGTTTGTGGTAAACACGCCGTACGCCTTTGTTTTGCACGGTAGGGTGAGTCGCTGCCCCGGTGATATCGAAGTAATGACAGTGTGCACAGTGCAGTTTGCGCAATGCTTTTAATTTGGTCAACAGTTATCTTTTCAAATAATCAGCACCCAGTGGCCGTACCAGCGAAAAGAAACAACTCATTTCCTCAGGTGTCATTTCTTGGATAAGGCATGTGCACACACAACGGAGTCATTGGCGACTCAATACTGTGCGGCAGAGACGTTGTAGCGCTTGTCCTCAACCAATTTTACTCTTGGCCTAGCCCTTTTTCAAGGTTCCAGTTGTTGAAGACGTCCGTGCATTAACCTTCCTGTCGTCAAAGGGGAGGGGTCGTGGTGCTACCTACCTAGCGACGCGTTCAACGTCGAGGTTCAGAGTAACCCCACGCGTCATGGCATGGCTCACCACATGGCATCGTGCGGACGATGGCGACGTGGAGCCACCTGGAAAGATATGCAACGCCTTTCATGACAACTGTTAGGCCTGCGCCTGACCTCCCCAAATCGGGTATGCGCGTTGGCCAAAAATTCGACTCTTGCGTGTGTGTTATGCGAGAGGAATGTTGGACCGCACTACCTGCCTACTCGCCAGATCGCCTTAGCCTAACCCTAACCCTAACTTGATTTTTGACCAGGCAATGTCAACTTGAACAAATGCAAACGCGCCGCCGGTTGATTTCTCTCGGTGTGCAGTTTGTCGCGTAATCGTACATCAACTATTTTGCCACGCGCACAGCGCCTACCGTGGCCGCTAGAAGAGCAGGTTTTGCTACCTTTCCAGTACCAAAGTCAGCTGTGGACACCCCACTCACGACTTAGTCCCACTTGAACGTCTCCAAAGTTGGGAAAGGGTGGGGTCGAATGCGATTCCTTTTCCTTGTCAACTTGAAAAAACACACCCGCACGCACGCGCACGCACCGCGGTTGAAGTATTGGGATCGAGAGTATTCGCGCATCTTATATCTTGTTCCACGCGCATTGCCCACCGCGACCGCTAGAGCAGCTCTGCCGCCGTTCCAGCGCCAAAACCAGCTGTGGACACCCAACTCGCGACGCAGTGTGACTTAAATCTTGCCAAACTTTGGGAAGGGTGGGGTTGGATACAGGTCACTTCTGGTGTCAACTCAAAAAAATAGATTCTTCCGAGATTCTCTTGGGGGAATTACTATCAAAACGAAAAAATACATAACTTTCTTTACCGAATAGTAACTCTTTTCGCCGAACCGGTTTCGGATTCCGGTGGTACTTATCGACATAAGGCGCGAAGG